GAGTAAGCACCCTGGCCGGGCGGGCCGGTTTGTTTACCTGCCGTGTCCGCAGGTTCGGTCGATCGCAGCTCCCACTGGCCGCGGTTCGCCACTCCAGGCCAATGGGGGCGGCAGGAAGCGGCGTGGGCCGAGGGATGTGCTGACCGCCGCTTTCTGCCACCCCCATTGACCTGGAGCGGCGAACCGCAGCCAGTGGGAGCCCCGATCGGCCGAACCTGCGGATGTGGCAGGTAAACAAACCGGCCCGGCCCTGGCGGGCCGCGGGCCAAAGGTTGCTGATCCCTGTATTAGATATTCAATTCAATTATTCCATAGAGTTTAAAATCATCAAATTTTGGTGTAGACCTGTTTATAAGCCGACCCCCGCTCTTTGATGCATCACTTTTTTACCAAAAATATTCGGCTTTTTTGGTAAAAAAAAACTCTTTTGGAGTTGTGGGCAAACATGAGAATGAGATTGCATCTTACCAGGCATAGATAATACATTAAAAGCCTGTGAGATACACATCCATGAAATATAATCTTGTGGCCATGTGCATTCCAAGCACCATTACGGTCAGAGAAAAGGGAAGGGGAGGAAAAAATCAAATCAAATCAGTATCTGCTGAACGGAAACGGATCATCATCTATAAAGCGGATACATACTATAAAGAAGCTTCTGTATTTTTAAGCAGAAACCCCCCACCACCACCACCTCTGAGCCATCGGGAAGTATCTAAATGGGGGAGGAAAATCATATCTTCTGTAGAGGATTCTTCTATCTGTTAAACTATCATAGTACGGATAGCTGAGTAGATATACAATGAAGTTCCATGTGGAAAACCAGGCTTCAGAATTGACCTTGAGCTGACTGCTCTCTGCCTCCAAGGAGGAAAGAGCAAGAGACAGCTGGCATCACACTTTCACAGCTCAGAGGCTTCCTGTTCTATCCACAGGGTCAGTGCAGCATTTGCAGCTGCTGTTATGAAAGAGGATGGGTTGAATTGTAAGGAGGGCTAAGTTTGGGAATGGTGGCCAATACCTCAAGTGTGCTCACTGGGGGACAGAATATATGCCACGTCTCTGTTTTGATGTGATTGCATACAGTAGATGGAATTGTAGGGGTAACTTAGTCCATGTTCAAAATCCTGAGGGCCATGCCGAAAGGAAAAATGTGTTCCGTACTCAGACTACCAAGCCATGTTTTGTTACACACAAAAAAAATGCAATTTAGACTCTGCTTAAACATGTTTTTAAACCAAACTGCAGCTAAAAAGTGCTGAAGTTTGCAAGTTTTGTAGCGAGTTAGTCTTTAACCTAAACTGCAGGTTTGGTACATTTGATACTCTGAAAAATGAATTTTGAAAAGAGCAATATTTCATGCTTAAAAACAATATACTGACCACGTACAAGGATTATTTTCAAGCTGTTTTTAATGATAATTTTCCCATTCAGTTAAATATATTTTTGAATGGTTATGAAGAGGGAAAAAGAAGTCACAAGCAAAGAGCTAACAGGTAAAAACCCCATAACCATGAATTCAACAGAAACAAAAAACAAAAAACACCATATGAAATGAATAAAAAGAATTAAATAAGTTCCTCAGTCCAATTAACTTGCTTTCTCATATGCTTCTGAGGAACAGGACTGCAGTTTCTCAAATTCCCCAGATTTGACATTCCAGTGCTACACTATAATACCACACAACACAACAGATTTACTAACAGACTTCATTTCTTCATGAAGACTCTTTCAGTGACTATACAGTACCAGCCTTGAGCACAGTATTCCATATGTCTCATTAAGAGCCAGTATATTATACAAATCCCCAAGCAAGTAGATTCTAGAATTTAAATAAAAGTCTGCATATAAAATTTACTTCCTCTCTAAAGAGGAGTCCGATAGGACAGGACCAGAACATCTGTCACCAAGCCTTTGTCAATGCAACCAGAGTTCCCGCACTGCTCACTACTGCACGTTAAGCTTTTGCACACTTCCAGGAGTCAACAAAGCAGTGTATAAAACGTTCTTTTAAACCGGTTTAAACTTCTGATGCATCACAGATACATAAATGGCAATGCAAATGTGTCCATGCTGCAGCCCTAATCCCAGCTAACAGAGAGTTCTGTGTTCACGGATGATGGGAGGAACTTGGAAAACCGAGAGAGAAAATTTTAGACTTTCAGCTCTGACCCTCATAAGGAATGTGGTTATCCCTAATTTATGGCAGGAAAAACCCATGGCACCCCCAACTCACCCCCACACATCCTTTTCAGGCCTTTTCTACACTTGTACATTTCTGACCCCCTTTTAAGCAATGGTGTAAGCCATTCAAGCTCAGCGTAAGCCAGGCGCAGGGTAGAGTTAGATGACATGGTGCTAAAAATGCCTGTGCCCACTCTGTGCTGGCATTACCCAGCTGACAGCCCTGCTAAAGAACAGATCAGAAGTTTCCTAGTGAAGACACACCCTCGAGGGCTTCTGTTCAGCAGACTCTAACCCATGATGCGGTCAGGCTGCAGCACCACTGGAGACCAGCTTGCATTCTGAGATACATTTACAGCACCATGAAGGTTTTCTCCAGGCATGGGGCCCTCTTCATTAGCGAAAACTCCACTCCCAGAACAAGAACTCTGGATTCATCATCTATTGAGTCGAGTTCATTAAACCCGGCAAACAAAGCCCCAAACATTTCAGGTTTGATAACACCTAATATATCCTTGAATGTACATTTGACTCCCCTTAGATAGGAGTCAAGTACAGCTCAGAGGGAAGAATAAACCACTATGAACCACAAGTTTTCTTAGATGAACCGAAGGACAGTTTTTACAGGATTTCACATAGATAAAAACATAATCCTGGGAAAGGTTGGGCAGGACAATCATTTCCTCTCAATGATTTTTAGTCCCTGAAGTTGTGCGGGATGGTGTGTGGAGTTCTTTTTGTATACTCATTAAGGTGCCTTCCACTGTAGATACACAAATGGTAACATAAACCAGTATTTTTCTAAACATCTTTTTAAAATGCCACTCGCAGCAGAATTGGTATCGCCTACACAATGTACACAAACCACCAAAAGCTGCCTATACCTTCTAAGAGAGGAGGAATACTGCTGCTGGACATGTATTGCTGTGTCCCTCTGTTTCATTAACATGTCAATCTGCTTCTGAAGACGCCTGTTCTCCTCCTCAGTCTGTTCTAGCCGGCTAAGGTCTGTATTGTGGCTTGCTATCTTCTCATTGTACCGTTTCCTTAACGCATCATAATCCTTTTTCACACCTTCTAGCTTGTCCATTGCTGTATCATAGAGTTTATTTAGTATCTCTGAGGATCCATTCTGTTTCATAACCTAAGAAAGAAACAAAAGGATAATTTCAGTAAGAGGTAGATATAAGAGACTTTTCACTTGTTTTTAAGTAATATGAATATCTTAGGAGACCTGTTAATATATGAAAACTAAATGTTTTTTGCTTACAGCTACTTTTCTCCTCAAACTCAATGTCCATGAAAAAACATTTAAGTTGAATTAGGCCATTTTGAAAAGGAAATCTCTACATACAAGATTCTTACCTTCAGGTTGGTAATACTCACATTCAATAAATTTAGATGGAAAAACATGACTATATCAATAGTCCTATAAAAATTGTTTTGCTATAGACAAGCAATGTAAATAAAAGGGCAAAAAAGGTACCACTAGTTAGTCTTAACACATGGGTCTTAAAAACAAACAAACAAACAAAAACCCCACAACACTAGGCAAGGAGATAATAAAACTTAGTTTACTATTACTAGTTGAATAAATATTGATAATAACTTTTCCACATTTCAACTGCCAAATTATAAAACACTCCCCCAAAATATAACTTTGGAAGCTGTGATAACAGTGATTAATACTTCATTTTACCAGTCTCACTCACAACGACAACTCAAACTCAAATAACTTAAGTTTCAAGAGATGAAAGGCTAGTCTGGGTAAGATTTACATGCAGTCATGCATTTCAATATTCATCGTTATTTCATCTAAAAAACATCTAGTAAAGAAGCATTTGTTCAGAAAGCTACCCATAGCTAGATTATTTTGCTCCTAAAAACACTAAGTGTTATGTTTAAAAGGGTCAAATCTTGCCTAAAGTTTAGATGCATTTAAGGAGGGTACTAGAGAAACTTAAAAGGAATACTTTCATAAAATACTTGCCGCATCTCCCATTGGCTGGGAACGGCAAACCGCAGCCACTGGGAGCTGCCGGCGGCCATGTAAATGTAAACAAACTGTCTAGCGGCCCGCCAGCGGATTACCCTGACAGGCTGCGTGCGACATGCAGGCTGCAGGTGGCCCACCACTGCTCTAAGGAGACAGTGCTGACAGTTTCGTTGCAAGGACCACAAATACAGAGAGAAATCTTGTGGATCACTTCCCCTCCTGTTCATGATCACACAGACTACTAGGATACCATTTGCAATTGCCCAACACGCTCTTGGCAATTATAGTTAAGGCTACGATTTAGTCATGGGTATTTTTAGTAAAAGTCATGGACAGGTCGCAGGCAACACACAAAAATTCACGGCCCTTGACCTGTCCTTGACTTTTACTAAAAATACCCGACTAAATCTTGGGGAGGGGAGCGTCGCTGCCCGAGGGTGGGCAGTGGCACCAGTTGATGGGGCTGCAGAGCAGTGGCTGTTACGGCTGCACCTGGGACCGCTGCTTAGGCGATCCCCAGGGCCAGCTGCCCGGGGCCACCCAAGCAACAGTCGGAGCGGTTGGCTGTAGGGCCGCCCGAGCAAGTGGCTGCAGAGCCGCTCCAGCAGCAGCTGGTGTGGCTGTCCCTGGAGCCAGCTGCTTGGGAGGCCCTGGGGTCAGCCACACTGGCCGCTGCAGACGTCACAGAGGCCGCGGAAAGTAACGGAATCCATTACTTCCGTGACCTCTGAGACAGACATGGAGCCCTAATTATAGTCATTGCTGGCTCCTTAATTCCTGCTGCTTCTACACATGCTCAGGCTCCTCTTTACATTGAGACGCCTAGCCTCTTGGAGAAGCAGCTGGAAATGAGTAGCAGCTACCAACTTTATGTGACTGCCAGCTCTCTGCAGATCACCAGTAACCCACAGACTGCAGCTTGATAAAGCTGATCTTATGCATCACAACCACACAGGTGAGAAAGTGAGGTTCCTCACAGTCTGATTTTTATCCTGACACTGTCCCCTTTAACAAACCTAGAGGTACAAAAACCCAACTGACCAGAACTGTGAGCTGTTTGGTTACAAGTCAACTTGACAATTTGGACGTAACAGAGTCCCAATTCAGCAATGATTTAATCATGTGCCTAATTTCAAACTCGTGTGTAGTCCCATTCACTTCTGGGGCACTACTCATATGCTTAAAGTAGGCACATGATTCAGTGCCTTGCTGAACTGAGGCCTTAGGATGTGATTGAGGAAATAACATCAGCACGTTCTTTTGTCCACCCATATTTAGGGGTGCACACTTTTTAAATAGTGGACTTCAGCACATGCTTAATTTTAAACACATGCTGAAGGGCCGTTACTGGGAAGGGATGTTTTCCTGAATTGGGGCCTTGACCATCACTGAACTGTCCAAGAAAAACAAAGTCTACTGAAAAACGAAAACAAATGGTACTGAAACCAAACTTAGGGGCTGAATATTTGAAACTCTCAGACAGAAGCAAACATTTTCTCACAGCCTAAAATGTATGGGGCCCCTTCTCATTTTGACAATGTCTTAAACAACTATCAGATTAAGTAAACTGAAAGAGAAAAGACAAGACCAAAGATAGCAGGAGTTTATTTTAAACTTAGTCAAAGGCTTTAAAATGCAAATGGGGTTTGGAGGGAGGAAGGGAAGAAAAGAGAAAATGCCACAAACAGGAAGCGTAGTAATAAGGAAAATCTCCCATCCAAAGCCCCAATACGAGGAAGAGTAAATAGTCCAAGCTGGACCCAAGGGTACAGCCATGGCAACGAAAACCTCATACTTGAGCAGTAGAAACTTAAAGGCCAGGCAGCTGCTATACAGGAAATCAAGGGCAATCCCACACAGTAGGAGTCATTTGATCAACAGTTTTTGTTTCTCAAGCAGTTGGGCTGCTGTTTTGCTACAGTCTGGTGATGGCATGACACGTCAGAGAGACCGTCAAAAATAGAATTAGATTAATCCAGATTCAGAGTGACAAAGATTGAGATAAGACTGCTGGCATTCCTTCAGGACAACATGATTCACACTGACACACCAAGAAAAGGAGCCACACACGTTTCTCACTGTTAGAGTAACAAAATTTCTTTGAAAAGGGTAATGATGAAATTTGCACAATATTAAATTATTTTGCAAAAATAAATGATAGTAATAATACTCCGACTTTATGCTTTGCTTCCCATCAAAGAATCTCCAATTGCTGGACAAACATTAAAGCTGATGCCATTCTGTGGTAGGTTTCACATTACCATTTTACAGAGTGAGAAACTAAGGCACAGAAAGGGTAAGTGACTTGACCAAACTCGCATAGCGAGTCTGTAGTATAGCAGAGCGGGGAATAAAAATCCAAACTTCTGTAGTCCTAATTGTTTCACATACAAAGATGTATAGGAGCACCCCTTCAAGTTAACCTGATATCAGAGGAAACGAGCAAGACAAAATACAAAGTTAATAAAATGAACAAACAAAAACACCCACAAAGAAACAAACCAAAAAAAAAACACTAAAAACATGGTAAACACCTCAGTCTGTATAGCTTATTTTGACTTTTACCCTTCAAGCCTGGCAAGTAATTATTTTTGTTTGTATAGACTTTGCTTCTGAAGCTTAACCATTTGACTTTAAAGTTCGTCTCATGAATCAGCCCACAGAGTTAGGCAAAGCCATCTATTTATCCATTCTACATGTTACTGTAACTGTTCTAACTAAATGATCCCTTTTCTGTAAATGAACCATGGACTCTCTGCCACTTCCAGGTTGTTTTTTCTGCCAGCCTATTTTGCCTATTTTTCTCCCTAGCGTGTGAACTTTACTACGATTAAAAAACCAAGCACCTTGGTGTTGAGACTGCTTAATTGTTAGAAACATCCATTCTTTCATCCCTGCAAAAGCTCTTTTTTTAAGTTTGAAGTTTAAAAGCATTAATCAACCTGTAGCATTGTTCTAACTGAATAGTGTCTGTGAACCTAAATAACCAAACTTTGTTCAATCATTCCCCTAACCTTTAAAGGTGTCACTGGGAGAAAGAAAAACTGCCACTCATTTTTTGTGATACTTTCACAATATAAACACAGGCTGCACTTTTGCATGCCCACAGCTATTCCTGTCCCAAGAAATACCTAAAGATCAAGGGACAAAAGCCATTCTTTTTTCATTATTATAAGCCTTTAAATTAGATTTAGCATGACTAAAAATTATAATTATCCAGAGTTCTTTCTTCATATTAGGAAAGGGTCAACTCTGAGAACAGTTTTATTTTAAAAAAGCTCTCAACTTTGTTACTATGAGTATGATGTGATGTTCAAGAATGATGAATAAACAGTCAACAGTTAACTATTAACAATGTGCCCAAAATTATCAAGTCAGTACTGATATGCTTTAATTCATTGTTATTCTGGCAGAAAGCAATGCTGTAACTTGTGTTGCGTTTTCATTGTAAACCCTTAAGTTAAGGGGCATGTAATTCAATTATATGTCTCTTAAGGCTGAAATTTTGCCTAAGGGTTGAAATGAGGTTATGGTAACATATTTATATATAAATTCCTATTCCCAAAAATACCAGACTAAACCAAACACCTCCACCCAAAATACTCATAGCCAAAAGTAGTCATATCCATTGTCTTGTCAGGATGGGCTGCAATCCGTATTTCCACTGACTTCAAGGGGCTTTGGAACAGATGCACAGAGTTGAGTGCTCAGCACTTCTGAGAATTGGGCCACTTATTTAGGGGCTTAAATATGAATTTAGGAGCCTAAGTTTAGGCATCCATTTTTAAAACACAGATGTTTTAAAATGACAAATCAGTGTTAAACTCAGACATTTGGGTCTGTTGATGTCAAACGTCCTTCTTATTTAACAGTTTATGCAATCCCAATTCCTCTTTACGATTAATTGATGCTTGAAAAACATTTCCTACTAGTACAGATAAATTAAAAGCCAGTGATTTTTTTACCAAGATCCTAAGGGACAGCTCCCTTTTATTTTACTGGCAAACAAGGAGGGGAGCATAGAGAGCAATTATAAACAAGGTAAATCCACAACTCACTGGTAAACAGATTTTACACTGGATTCTAAGGCTACGTCTTCACTACCCACCGATCCGGCGGGTAGCAATCGGTTTATCGGGGATCGACTTACCGCGTCTCGTGAGGACGCGGTAAAATCGATCCCTGATCGCTCTGCCGTCGACTCCGGAAATCCACCTCGACAAGAGGCGGCAGCGGAGTCGGCGGCAGCGGTCGGCTTTCCCCCGTCCTCACCACCAGGTAAGCCGACCTAAAATACGCAACTTCAGCTACGGTATTCACGTAGCTGAAGTTGCGTATCTTAGGTCGGAACACCGCTGTAGTGTAGACCTAGCCTAAGGCTACACAAAGAAAGGTACTTGTGAGGGGCAACCAATCTGTAAGAGCAAGGCTGGGCTGGTAGGTGCAGACAGACACAGACACTCTGAGTAATGTCTTGAAGGTATATTTAATATCTGCCTCTGGCTGACTGAGGGAGTTTAAAAGAATGTGGATTTTTTTTTACTGATAATATTCCATACATTCCATGTCTAGATCATCTATGCATATGAGAGAAAATATCTATTAAATGAAAAGAATGTCTTGGCAAGTCTTTTCATATGTTCCTTAAGTTGTCTCTCAATCTAACTTGTCTGTAATGTCTAATAATGGATTCCCTTGCTTTCCTACTCTCCATATTTCTCTCTTTGTACAGTGTTTTCTCCTCCCTATCCTCACAGTCTCTCCATTACAGAATAAATTCCAGGGAAGAAGAGGAGTTATTTAAGTTAAGTGCCAATGTGGACACAGGAACAAATGGATATAAACTGGCCATCAACAAGTTTAGGCTGCAAATTAGATTAGGGTTTCTAACCATCAGAGGAGTGAAGTTCTGGAACAGCTCCCAAAGTGGAGCAGTAGGGGCAAAAAACCTAACTGTCTTCAAGACTGAGCTTGATAAGTTTATGGAGGGGATGGTATGATGAGACTGCCTACAATGGCATATAGCCAATCTACGACTGCTAGCAGCAAATAGCTCCAATGGCCGGTAATGGAACACTAGATGGGGAGGGCTCTGAGTTACTACAAAGAATTCTTTCCCAGGGGTCTGGCTGGTGGGTCTTGCCCACATGCTCAGGGTCTAACTGATCGCCAAATTTGGGGTCGGAAAGGAATTTCCCCTGGGGTCAGATTGGCAGAGACCCTGGGGTTTTGGTTGTTTTGCCTTCCTCTGCAGCATGGGGCATGGGTCACTTACAGGTTTAAAAACTGGTGTAAATGGTGGATTCTCTGTAACTTGAAGTCTTTAAATCACGATTTGAGGACTTCAGTAGTTCCGCCAGAAGTTAGGGGTCTAGTTCAGAAGTGAGTGGGTGAGGTTCTGTGGCCTGCAATGTGCCGGTGGTCAGGCTATATGATCATGATGGTCCCTTCTGACTTTAAAGTCTATGAGTCTATTCATCTCTTCCAGTCCTTATTACCTCTCTCACACACACGGTTCTCTCCTTCCCCCTAAATCCACTCATCATAACCTCAATCCACACCAATCCATACCCTTCCTCCTCCTTACACGTCCCCATGCCACAATTCTCCTCACACACATCAAAGCTCCCAGTCAATCCCAGCTGACACTGCTAAACTACCGGGGAGTAAGTAGTCTCCTTTTGGGTTTTTTGGGAGAGGTAAGTAGTGCAACTCCTCATCCTACTAGATGCTGAAAGACACTTCATATTGCAGATCCAAGTTTGCAGGTTTTAAAAGTAAAAAGATTTTTCTAACTAAATGACACTAGATCCAGAGTCACTGAAACACAAGGAAGAAGGAACCCCACACAAGGTCAATTTTAGAGAGTCACTTATCAGAGAACAATGATAATTAAATGTACACACTACCATTGTGTTTTAAATGGCAGTTTTGTGACTTGCGCTGTCAGATTAGGGAAAATCACTCCAATTGGTTCAATGGTAAAAAGAAAGGTAAGTGGTAGGCCAGCCATGCAATGCTTTACATTCCATGAAAACATTAAACAGCCGCTCATAGCATTCATGCCAAGAGCTGCAGGCTACCTGCTGTTGCTGGCTGCGTAGGTCTGTTATCTCTTTCTGATCCTCATCATGAAGTCTCTTCATTTCCTCACATGATTGTTGGAGATGGTTATGCTCTCGCACCAACTGCGTATTCTTCCTCTTCAAGGTATCCATGTCCTCCTTCAGCTGTGACTGGTCACTCAGCAGTCGACTATGCAAGGTACTAGAATGTCACAAAGAAAGAGCACTTAGATGAAAACTTCACAGGAAGCCCTCTTCATGCCGATGCACTAATCCATATCAAACCAAGTCAAAGTTTCAAATTAAAAAAGGCAGATGAAATTAACTAACTCATTTCTTCAGATCTGAATATTCCAAATGCCATGTGCCAGCTAAATCCTACGGAAGAAAGACAGGCAGCACAACCAGAGACCTTCTAGACTTAAGTGATTTGAAAGCTCTGTGCAGCATTAAAACAGATATATTATAGATTTATGTAGAACAAGCAGCCCGCCCCAGTAGACCATTTCAACAAGCAAACTGCTACACAGGCACAGAAATTGTGTCCCTGGGCTTACAAGATCTTCTAGGCAAAATAAATTAGCCGCATATTTGAACAACACAATACAATACAATAGAACAAGACATCAATAGAGTAGAAAAAGCTTTCTGCTTGTTTGCTTTTGTTTCAAACATATTTTGGAACATTTTTAAGCAGGTAAAGCTACCAGTTGTTATCCCAAATTGGGTATATTGCTTGTAATAGTTGACAGGTTTATATTCACATTTAAAATCACAACTAAGTCACATTATTGAGGATAGAATTCAAACTCTAATTCAGTGCAGCAGCCCAACTTTAAAGCACATTGCTGTTGGAGCAGACCAAGAGATATAATTAAATTGTATTAAGTTGAAGTTTAGAGAAAAGAAAGACAATAAGATGTGGCCAGGTTTTATTGTTGAAACAAAGTGATTCAGACCTAACTCTCTCACCTACCAGGGATCTGTTCAAAGTCCCTATAATAAAATTGCTGCTGCCTGTAGTTTCTCTTTTTTTTTTTTTTAAATGATTGGAATCAAATTTACAATTAAAAAGATCTGTAGAACTGTTCTATATTATAAGTGAACTTTGTACTCCCACTCCTTTCATAAGAAGTAAGTGAGCTACATTTCCTGTACAAAATAACCCAATGGAGAGCTTACAGAAATCATCAAACTAAAAAAATGTGGCAATAACTTAGGCAAAAAATTAAGCCTTTGGTAAATTATTTTTACAAGACTAAATATATGCAATCCTTACACCTGGGTCTGACTGATCTCAGCATCTGCTATTCAGATTTTACTTAGATTGCAAGTCCTTTAGGGCAGGCTTGTTTTTTTGTTCTGTATTTGTACTGCACCTAGCACAATGGGGTCCTGGACCATGACTGGGGCTCCTAGATGCTACCACAATTAATACAATGTTAAAGTCAACCCCGACTAGAGAGCTCCACCTACTCTCTTCCAAAATAGCTTCAAGAATAATTCACAGGACAAACATGATTTTATGCATAGGCCTCAAAATTAGGTGTCTTGGATTAGACATCCAAAATCACTAGTCACTTGAAAACACAGGCCAACTTGGATAAAAGTGCTGTTGAAACCAGAGTAGTGCCAAACTTTCAAGGTTTTGGTTCAGCATCCAGAACTTGCTAAACTCAGAGTCTGCAGGACACATACTAAGATAAATTCATAGAGCAAAAAGTATCTATACTTGAGTAAGGCTTGGTTCTAAACCTAGCAAATTCCTTGGCAAGCTCTGTCGTTCCCTGAAACACCTAACCTTAACACCCTAATAACAGGCCTCTAGCTCCCAATTAGTCTTCATTCAACTTAGAGCAGGGTTCTCAAACTGGGGGTCACGACCCCTCAGGGGGATTACATGGGGGGGTCGCAAGTTGTCAGCCTCCACCCCAAACCCCGCTTTGCATCCAGCATTTATAATGGTGTTAAATATATAAAAACATTTTTTTAATTTATAAGGGGGGGGTCACACTCAGGCTTGCTGTGTGGAAGGGGTCACCAGTACGAAAGTTTGAGAACCACTGACTAAGGGGAACCAGTCAAAACGGGCTTAACAGACATGGCAGACAAGATTCCTGCTGGGCCTTAGCTGCCATTGCACCCAAGGTGTCTCACATTCCTGACTTGGGAAACATTGCTGATCATACTCTCCTAAAGCGTGTGATTTTTAAATGCAAAGAAACCAGGACCCAAAAAGCCCGCAGGATTTGGTGGATCCCACAATTCTTATTCCAGCCTTAATATCGTCAAAGGAAGGAGACCTGCAAAGACGCTGAAGGGACCACGAGGAACAGAAGAGATAAGATTGCAGGAAACATGCCCAAGGATGTGTTTTTAATTTGAGCTTCTATGGGGGGAGGGTGGGCAGAGGGGAGGCCCACAGGTCTATCTGAAGTGGCAGATAAGGAGTCTATTTATCCAAATCTTAATAAAAGTTCATTTGGGGAAAAGTGGGCTTACCTCTGAAACAATAAAAAATGCTGGGTTTTTTGCTGGCCAGATAGTCTCATAGAGTACCTAGTCTTACAGAATACTTAGTGCAAGCATATTGCCTTGCATTTGTCATTTTGTAAAAGCCAAAACTGCTGTTCCTCAGAGAAAATAATATTCTTAGTGTACTTGTGTACGTGAGTGCACTTACAATAGAATAATCACTCTCAACAGTCTTTTGTCCCCAACAAGTAAAATTTAAATCCTTAAAATCCCTTCATACTGATATAAAACAAAAACAACACAAAACATTATAATCACACAGATTATAGAACTGTGGTTTGCAAATGAGGGAAATAAAACTCTACTATCACTTCAAGGAGTGCAAACATTTTACATTAGCCTTTCACATGCACAGAAAAAGCAGCTACGGAGATCTGACTAAAAATAAAGACATCTCTAGCTTCGTCTAGAATTTATTAGCAAGCAGAACAACTTGGAAAGAGCACTAAGGACAGTGTCTCAGGCTTGTGATCTCGTGGAACTGACATCTAATAAATAAGAAACAAACCAGCTCTGAAGGATCCTTAGATAATGACAAAGGTATAAAGGGGTAAAATAGTGTGTTGCAAGGATCTTCTATTGTTCCTCCATTTTCCTTCTTCAAAGCAAAATCAAGTGGACAGACGGGATCAACAAATCTCCCCGGCAAATAGCCATGCAGCGCACTTAGTTTGCACGTGGTGACTTTTCTTACTAACATTTTTTCAAATTTTGCCTGCTGACGGTGTAAGAGCTACAGTACTAAGCCAGCCAAATCAGACAATGTCATTCCCAGATTGTTACAAACTTATCAATTCTGCATGGTGCGCCATTAGAGAACATTAGCCTTAAAGCTACTTCCAACATAATACACCTCTACCCTGATATAACGCGACCTCGAATATAACGCGGTAAAGCAGTGCTCCGGGGGGGCGGGGCTGCGCACTCTGGTGGATCAAAGCAAGTTCGATTTAACACGGTTTCACCTATAACACGGTAAGATTTTTTGGCTCCCGAGGACAGCGTTATATCGGGGTAGAGGTGTATTTGCCTCATTTTTTTTTCTGTAAGGAGAATACCTTTCCAATTAATAAAAATTAGACTGGTCTAAGATCACGTACATGTCACGTTCATTGTTGCACGAGTATCTGGTTTCAAGTCCAATATCTTGATCATCATCAGAGCTACAAGCAGATGCTGGCAACTTCTCCCCACAACTTCACCACATTTTCACAAGTGCTCATTGATGGTCTAACTCTGCTCTCAAAGTGTTCAAACTCCCATTGACTTCAATGGAAGCGGAGTGAGGCCAATGTAGAACCCATTTTAAAATCCCACCTTCTATTTTTAGACTGGCCGGATCATGAAATGTCCAATCTCAATCACACTTTTGTTACTAGTTTGCCTTGCTCCACTCCACTAAACCACAATTCCATCATGGCTTTAGAAGTTGCTACTAAAAGATCCCTAAAGATCAAAACCAATGCTTTTCCCCTTCTGAAATCACAGAACTCCACCTTTCACAGTAGGTGAAATAAATAAAATAATAAAAACCTTTGACTGTAGAAGTTCACAAAACGTTGCGATTAAAACAGTAAGAAATGCAAGATGGTGGCAAGAATGACATAATTTAAAATTGCCATATTTTAAAAGATCCAATATCTCATGATCGACCGGACTGAAACACTTTTGGCAGACCAGCACTAATAATTACAGCACTACTAAACTTGTCTAAGCACTGCTCGTGAACCAGTGAAGAGAAAGTTTTCACTCCTACCTTTTTTGTGTTACTTACTGATAAAAATCTGCCTCTTTGGCTGCTTCTTCACATCTTTTTAGTGTCTTCGTATGTTGATTCTGTAGAGACTGTAGGTCTGACATGGCTTTCATACACTGGATCTTCAATCTTTCATAATCATGGCTTGGTTTTGGACTAGGCCTGCCATGGAAGGGAAAAATAAAACCAGACTTCAATTATTACATCAGTGGAGATTTGTGAAGTGTGTTACTATTAGCAAGTAATCACTCCAAATCTTGAGATATTGCTTTAAGAAGTTACACTATTTAGAATCTATTACAGTGACAAATCAATTATTCAAGACTGACCCTGTGTCAATATGCTGCAACTGAAAAAAAAGGCAATTCTCCTTCTACACCATTAATTTCTGCATACAGAAGGTCATTACATGTTTAGATTTTTAAAGTGTGCTATCAGAAGTCCCTTAGGACATGCATAAAGTTTTTTTTTTTTTTAATTGAACACAATTACAAATTGATTCAATGCTTCTTGGCAGCAGTCACTTCTAAAACCTCACCCAGCCAACCCCCTCCTCTGGAAAAAAACTAGGATAGCAACTTACCCTGAAGGCCACCAACTCTAGGGTTTGGTGCACTAGAGGGTGAGGAGTCCATTTGGGACTGGAGCACCCCTCAGTTAAAACACACTCTAGCAGCCCCATGTAAACCAGAGTTCAAATATCTCAAATACTGTGGAAACGTGAGGAGAGAGGCAGCCTCAAAAACGTAGGAAAGAATTAAAACAATTCAGACTTTCTTAGCTACAATGTTAGCAGTGTTAAAATTTTGCCCAGAAATCAAGTGGTAGTCAGTAGAATCACAGAGCACAGGTTTAGTGAGCTTGCTATGGAATATCCCACTTAAAAAGCCAACTATCACATTTGGCACAAACTGTATTTTTGGGAGGGTTTATGGTGTTAAGGTCCTATGAAGAACTGCAGCAAGATCAGCACCCTAGAAGAAAAGAGGCTCTTAAGTACTTATAATGCTACTGTTACCAAAGTATTTAAATACCTCTCAGTCTTGAATTTATTTATCCTCACAACACCCCTGTGAGGTAGAAGTACTTATCCCGGTTTTACAGATGGGAAATGGAAGCACAGAGATACAAGGGCTTTTGTACACTTACAGGGCTGCAGCAGTGCAGCTGCAGCTCCCCAAGGGGTGTAGCTATGATGACAGGAGAAGCCCTTCCATTGACACTGTAGTGGAGGGGTAGGCAAACTTTTTGGGCCGAGAGCCACATCTGGGTGGGGAAATTGTATGCAGGACTGGGGTGCGGGAGGGGGTGAGGTGTGCAGGAAAGGGTTCAGGGCAAGGGATTGGGGCAGAGGAGCGGTGTGGGGTGTAGGAGGGGGCTCAGGGCAGGGGTGCAGGAGGGGTGCGGACTGCGGGAGGGGGCTCAGGGCAGGGGGTTGGGGTGCAGGTAGGGGGCGGGGTGCAGGCAGGGAGTTGGGAGGCGGGGTTCGGGCTCCAGCCCGGCACTGCTTACCTAAAGCGGCTCCGGGCTGGCAGCGGCGCGCTCCCTGCCTGCCTGCCCTGGCCCCATGCTGCGCCGCTCCAGGAAGCGCTGCAGCCCCTGGGGGGGTGGGGAGGTGGAGGGCTCCGCATGCGCTGCCCTTGCCACGCCTCCAGGTACCTCCCCCGAAGCTCCCATTGGCCGTGTTTCCCCGTTCCCGGCCAATGGGAGCTGCGGGGGGCAGTGCCTGGAGGGAAGGGCAATGCACGGAGCCCTCTGTCCCGTCCCGTCCCCCCCCCGCCAGGGGGCCGCAGGGAAGTGGTGCCGGCCGCTTCTGAGAGCGGCGCAGGGCCTGCGGTGCCAGGGGGGCAATCCCGTGGTCCGGATCCAAAGCCCTGAGGGGCCGGATCCGGCCCGTAGTTTGCCCACCCCTGCTGTAGCGATATCTACACTGGGAGTTCGGTCAGTATAATTGCATCGCTCAGGGGCGTGCATTTTCCACACCCCATAGTGACGTAGTTATATGAACGCAAGTTCGTAGTGTAGACCTGGGCCAAGCGACTTGCCGAAAGTCACACGGGTTCTGTGGCAGAACAGGGACCTGAACCTGGCTCTGAAGAGTCTCAGACTGGCACCCTAACCACTTCACTCACTCACTCACTCACTCTCACACACACACACACACACACACACAGTAAAGAGATGTAACTATTATAAAGAGATTATTTTCTTTAACAACAACTCAAATGTATATTAACAACCCAGATACCTCTCCCAGGGACAACAGAATTATTTTACAGAATAGAACTTTCCTGCTACATAATTCAGTCAGTCACAGTTGACTCTGCTTTCCTGGGTTAGCCTGCCAGCCCTGATCTCCTCAATGAATTTCAAATGGGTAACAAGTGCATGCATCTGTGACAGCATAATTTATCCACCTAACTCATGCTGCTAAATTGAACATCTGTTGAAGTGTTATGATCATATTTTAAGCTATTACAAATGAAGGATATAAAGATTTCAAAGACTCAAATTTAACTGTATACATCAGACATGCTTCTACTAAATACTCCAGGAGTTTTATTTTATTTACATAAAATAATCATGCTCATTTTTAAGAAAACACACCACTAATAGCCTCTAATGAGATGTGCAAATTACAAGCCACTCTAAATCAAGGTGACTTCAGAGACCAGAATTTAAAATTATATCAGAATCACTGGATAAAAGTAACAACAACTAAAATCATCTACCTTGGCTGGCAATTGGACTCATTTATCATGAACTCTCACACAACTCATTTACTGAGCTAAGGAGCGATGGGAAGTTGTTGTTTTTTCGGAAACCCCCTAGTCGTGTGAAACTCTACTAATTTTAGTGTTGGAAACAAACCAAACTAGCAGTATTTTGTCCTAACGTGTTTTTGGCCCATTAAACTTCCATAGAAACTCTAAATTAAACTCTTTGCTGTCTCTGGATAGCCACAATGTTTTTCCAAGACTGAGTTTTCCGGTTTCACAATGAAACATTTGATAGTCACATGATCTGTCTCCTGGGTCCCCTAAAAATCAAACTAGCCAGTCGGCAATGAAGAGAGCAGAGTGAAACTCTCTGATTTCTTTTTGAACCTGTTCAGTCTCCTATCAAATTTGGTCAGTTGCCTCTTTAGAGCACATTTCCCCACCCTCCAAAAGCCAGCACTGCAAGCTCAGCCTGAAAAGTAATCAGGATTCTTTCTGCTTCAGACATAAACAGCAGTAAGGATTCTGGAACTGAAATTTAGCTGGCAGTTCGATTGATGAGGAAGAATGGAAGTGGTCTTTGCACAGCTGCAGTGGTGAGAATAGCAAAAATAAAATACTGATCACATAAGATTCACAGACTCACAAGGAGTATGTGAGCAATATTAACGTGCCCTTTTATTTTATTTATTTATTTAAGGAATAGAGCTATATTTTGATTGAAGGACTCATAAAGTGAGCGATTGTGTCTTAGCATCTAACTCCCCTCTCCCAACATGAAACTGGTCTTGGGAACAACCGTCTTGCCTGACAAATCATAACAGCATTTAAAACTGAACTTCACATTACAGATGAACTTCCAATAATGAAGCCAGACTTTCATGAACACTATTTTTACATGTTCTCCCATCAAGAATGCCAAGCAGCAGAATACCCCTTTATTAATAGTGCTGTATGAGTTATCAGCATTATCAACTGTTAGAGAGTATTTCCTTTTCAAAATGTTAATCCAAGTTACCAAAAATAAAAGTCATTCTACAATTATCTACCCCTCTGACAGAAGCATTCAGAACCCAAGTATGACTTAAATGAGGCTTTAGGGTGAAATTATTGAAAGCAGACACCATCTGTCCAACAGAGTAATTAAAATGATGTTAATTGAAGCACAGTTTAAATCCCAGTGAATATACTATGTTTATTGAGTCCAATTAACACATGCTCATATTAAGCTTGTAATCAGAAATGTACATGTGGCAAAATATTTCAGTGTGAGAGATTCAACCAAAAGGCAACTGTTAAGCCTGTCTCAAAGGCAAACGAACATTTGTTTTACTGTAAAGTGAAGAAAGAATGTCCTATGTCTCAAACTCCGCTAAAGTTAATATTTAGAATCCTTACCTTATAACACTCAGCTGGAAATAAACACACAGAAATACTGCAGGTGTACACAATCTAACTACCTACAAAAAGATGGCACTAATGACAATGATGCCAGTACTTGTATCCTAGATAGCTGGTCCAGATGTAAACAGAAGAACGTTCTATATTGCCATTTTAGAGGTTTAAGCCCCACAAACTGAAGCCAGTGTGGAAATGCAGATAGAATTATATTGTAGATCAAAAAATCAAAGATCATATTGTTACAGCAATACACATCCTTTTAAAACTATACAGTAGTCAGATCAGAGTTCAGATCTGGGCAATTTTACTTTGCCCCAAGTTGAAGAACTACACCTCTACCCCGATATAACACGAATTTGGATATAACGTGGTAAAGCAGTGCTCCGGGGGGGCGGGGCTGCGCACTCCGGCGGATCAAAGCAAGTTCGATATAACGCGGTTTCACCTATAACACAGTAAGATTTTTTGCCTCCTGAGGACAGCGTTATATCGGGGTAGAGGTGTATGTTCCCTAGAGCAGGGAGATTATTTTCATTAAAGAGATATTTGTTATATTTTATAGAAATATCATAGTTTCAAAGAATATAAACAAATCTATACATCCAAAGCGTAAGAATTATGGGTCAAATCCTGATTTGACTCATATACAATAGAACCTTAGAGTTACGAACTGACCAGTCAACCACACACCTCATTTGGAACCGGAAGTACACAATCAGGCAGCAGCAGAGACCCTGACCGGGGGCAGGGGGAAGCAAATATAGTACAATACTGTGTTAAAAGTAAAATACTAAAAAAAAATAAAGGGAAAGTTTAAGATTTGACACGGTAAGGAAACTGTTTCTGTGCTTGTTCATTTAAATTAAGATAGTTAAAAGCAGCATTTTTCTTCTGCACAAGTTTCAAAGCTGTTTTAAATTGATGTCCCGTTGTAAACTTTAGAAAGAACAGCCATAACCTTTTGTTCAGAGTTATGAACATTTCAGAGTTACGAACAACCTCCATTCCCGAGGTGTTCGTAACTCTGAGGTTCTACTAAAT